CAGCGCTCCCGACCAGCATGCCCATTGCCTATACCGGTAAAACAACCTAAATGGCAATTACCCGCGCAATAAAAAAGACAGGTGCGGGACATTATTAATGCAATTGCCTTTCGTTACCGTCTAGTGACACAACACCGGTTAAACTACCGCATTTTTCCACTATAAGGGTCGACACTCAATTGGCGGGATTCACTGCCTGAATAAAAAGTCACACGTTACCATTGTAGCTTATCTTGTGTACCAGGTAACCTCGACAACACCGTACTCGTACCTCACTGTCCCCTGACAGTGCCGACCGCCTCACGAACAGCACGTGATAGGCCCGTGCTCAGACGAGGTGAACGGGCAAAAGGACGTAGGAAGGGCGAAGCGAGAAGACATATACTGCAGATGCATCCCGTCTTGCATGGACAAACACTTGGCAGCAGAGGCAGTATATTGCCAATGCCGTCTTGCATTTGTTTGCCTGGCTTTTCAGGTGGTGCTTTTTCTCCAAGGTTATGGACGATTCATGCCCTTGTCCGTCTGATCTGGGAGCATTTGTACAGGCGACGGATCTGGCTGAGACAACTGGGAAAGTCCAACCCTTATCTCCTATAACTGACCGAGGCATGGGTTCATATCCTTTTCCAGTTTGTCATCTTTCCACTTCCTATATATATAACCTGTGTAGTGTGTACTTAGCTTTACGACCACGATCATATCGTAAGCTACAAGGCAAAAACATGATTCGCGTATCATGTCACGTTCTTCATGAAGGCTGCCTGGCTCGCATAGGCGGCGGAACGGGGAGGGCACCGGGGCACCGTGCCCCCCTTTGATTTTGGCATTTTAACATTAGCCCTATGGGCGTTGCATGGAAAGAATGGGACCAAAAGTCGGCAGTCCCCCCTTTAATTGAAGGTGTTCCGCCGCTACTGCTGGCTCGCAGACAATCGGTGCAAGGGTGACGATGAGTTGATATGTTGAGATGTAACAAAAGTGCAGTTTGAACAACTCTAATGACCAATTTTGGTGGTCACATGCCTTCATGACCAGCACGATTCGGTTCACGACGCGGTAGTGTGATTGTTCAAAGTAAGTAAATAGAATGAATGAATGTTATTGACTCCGAGAAATCACAGTTTAATTAGCTTGAAGCCCCAGGGAACTCATTAAACGGCTGTGGGATCTACACCGCGAGTTAAAACGCAAAGCGTCAATGCTTCCAGAACGTTCCTGGCACAAGGCTGGCACTAAGTAGCAATGTTTCAGATGTTTTGCAATTTGGCAAAAACTAAACCGAAATACGAGTAGGTATGTCAGTAATTATTCTCAGGAAGCAATCGAAAAGACTCGCAATATGAACAATAATATGGGCCTAAGCAGCAACAGTGATGATGTCAACATTGCAGCACGGTGTCTGAATGCAAAGTGAATAATTTGCATTCGGTAACCCTGTTGCACCATTGCGGATGCATCAACCCGCAGCCTTCGTCTGAACACAGTGCGTGTGATAGCTTTTGCATAACAGGTCTGTGGCTCTGTGGATCCCTCACCCGCCTCCAAATCAGGCGGGCCGAATGGAAATGAGGCGACGAATACAATGCCAGGTCCCGGAATCTAGAGCCGCGCTTTGACGTCAGTACGTTTTTCATAGTTATATCATCGTAAAATTGATATTATTGCGAAAGATACTTTTATGAAGACAAATTTAATACAAATTTGGTGTAGCCCTGGACCGGATTTCACCCGTCATTTGGATTCCGTTCTGTTAAATAGTTATGTCCCATTTAATATTTTTCATGTTGTCTGAAATGCTATTCTGAACTTTGAAACTCCGATCAATATTGATTGGTTTTATCGAGATACAAGTCAAATGGACGGAGTAAAGGTATTAGTTCGATTAAATTGTATATTTTTAGTCATCTAAGGGACAAAGGCAATTAATTACTTTTGCAAATGCTCTCGATGAGGCCTCCTCATCGATTCGCATTTTTATCCGGCTCAGTAGTAGCTCAAAATTCAAATCGATCGACCTGTAACTATCGAATATCGTAATGCGTTCAAGGCCTTGTTGCAACGGAACCACTCGCATCTCCGAAAAAAAAACTCTTCAAATTTACTATTGGCAGCGACGGATATTATTACCATCGGCATTAAAGGGACCCTCCCACCTTCAAAAAAGTTAATGAATTGGCATGAAAGTGATGTCGCTCGGTTCAGGAAGAGCGAAAACGAATATCTACCAAATTTCATCGAAAAATATTCACCGGTTTTCAAGATATTAGACTTTTACTATTGTTTACTTTCTGGGATCTCCGCTGTTCCTAGCGACTTTATTTGAAAGTGCGGCATTTGTTGCGCGCAAAGCAGCATATACCACCGCGTGCTACCAAACGTTTTAGTAAAAGATTTAAAAATCGTTAGACCTCCGCTGACGTCACAAATTCTAAGGGGGCATACCAATGCATTAGCCCCTTAGAATCCGAAAACTGCAAGTTTGAAATTCCATATCTCCGAATTAAAGCATTTTTCGATGTTGTGAGTGCTCAAACCGGTATTTTCAGGCCATGGCCACCAATTTGGCTATCTCAACTCAAAACTAATGTTAAGGTGGGAGGGTCCCTTTAATGCGGAATCAAATGCGATGCCAAGCCTGCGATTCGCACTCAATTATGCCATGCAAATCTAAACACCGATTCATCGACAAGCGGCATATGAAGTACCGCCTCTGAAACCGGTTTAAAGCACTATTGTCCGGTGCGTAACATATGTTAACCACAGACGGCGAGGCAGGCTCATTCTCTGCACCCCTGGCTGGCCCGGTCACGGCCGTCCGCGGCCGCCTCTGAGTGGCTGGAGTCCACGTGCTGCCCGCGTGGGCTCGGCGACACGATGGTCCCGATGACTCTTCAGCTTTGAGGGCCTGGCCGAGTCGCCGAGGACCGGCCTCTTCGGGGCCGCCCCGCCGCCGCGCGACGCTCACGCCACCGTGTGTGACCTTCGCTGCGCCAGGACCAAAGAGAGGGTTCGCCTGGTGGTTTTGGAGAAAAGTCGTACGTAGGCAGGTGCCGAACCCATTCGTCATATGGACATCAGAATGGAGTATCAGCGAGTGCCGCCTGCTGCGACCCAGCTTCTATGCCGAATCTATTCACTGAACTGTCGAAGACAGACGGTCGAGTGGTTTCATAACCTCCGGCTGGTGGAGCTTTCAAACTCTTGGATGGTGGCATTTCGAGGGAAGATGACGGACGATTTTGGATAGCGGTAGTCGTGCCCTCAGGCCTCACATGGACCGTCGATTCGCGGGTCTGCTTGTTCGGTGGCTCGGAGATTATGGTGTGCTCCAGAGACGAGCGCTTGGACCGACAGCCTTCACCCCAAAGCTCTCAGAGCGTGCTGGGGTCGAGCGAAGGCGAGACCCAATGAATTGTACCTAAATTTAAGCTTCCTCGTTCCTGGTGTGTGGAAATATATGATTGATGGTGCGTGAATGTGACTCAATATAGCTCATCTCGCGATGTGAATTATCCGTAGAAACATTCGAAGGTCGGCGAGTAATAGGAACTAGTGATGTCAATGACGGAAAATCGAGATTCCGATACAAAACCAAATACCAACAATATCCATGGAAAAATACCGAAACCAAACCGACTTGGGAATATGAGGAAAATACCAACTTTTTACCAAATTCTCAGCCTCTTTTACATTAGTGAGGATTCATAATACCAACAAAATACCAAATCCAGACCACTCGCCTTGAATTACAAAATACCAAGTTGGTATCGGTTTGGTATTGGTAAACCAAAAGGTTGGTATCCGAATGACATCTCTAATAGGAACATCTCATCCATTATCATTACATGGTTTCACCATGATTTGTTTAGTGCATGTTACGTTTTTGTGTCTGTCTGAATTGAATAGGGGAAGTTGGGGGAACGCCGAATACTTTTTTTCTGACGCCCGTAGCACGCAAGGTAGACAACATAAGCTATTCTTGTTGGCGTCATTCGAGAGGCCAGTCTTTTGCCTTTCAAACATACCAGGCGCATTTGATGAATTCGCATACCGTTAAGCGCACAAACTAAAAATATCAAAGAAGTGACTTTTTCGGCGTTGCCCCGGACTGCGGGGAAAGCCGAAAATGGGAGAAATGATCTACGGGGAATGCCGACATTGATGTTTTGCCACTTTATCTCAAACTTTATCCAGAATTTATCAAAGCTGACACGCGTTTTAAGAGCTTGAGGACGCTTGGTGCACACTGGAAGTTATAATTGTGTGATATAATAAGAAAATGCCAGGTAAATAATTTCTTATAGGTAACAGGCCGTTGTGTCGGTTGAAAGTGTAATTTGTGTGACTAAAAATTCGCGTTGCTATACTACAGCAGTAAAGTCCACGTAGCGTGCTTTAACGTGCGTAATTGCACGTTTTCGGCATTACCCCAGCCAGCCATACTTTCATTTGCAGGCCCATAACTTTTCAACGTGCCGTATAAATTTCAAATAGGCAGCACACTTATGCAAAGACATGCTGAAGATTACTTGACCGAATTGGCCAGACAAACGGTAGCATAATGAGTAAGAAATGCAGCTTCAAAGGCGCATGTAGTACAAGGAACGCGTACCTTGAAAACGCTATTGGCGCCCTCACAGCCGAAGTATTCCGAATGACGACTCGTAGCAAACATGCGATAATTGTAGTCACTTAAGCTTCAGAGCATCACTGACAGGTGGCATCCATGTCTTATGGTTTTCGAAATATCTCGAATTTCGGCTTTGCCCCAACTTCGGCATTGCCCCAACTTCCCCTACTGCTTTGACAAAACAGCTTTTCAACTGCATCACAAAGTATACCGTGAATCGATAACGATCGGTGGCTTCAGCTACCATTGCTAAATTCTTTACGCGTCTATCCTTGTTACAATGACCACTTGTCTGTGCCAGTTCGAGATCCCGTACCTGTCCCAGGGCTCATCTGAGCCGATACTGAGTGGCCTCCTTTCGTTCCAGGACACCAGCGTTCAGCTGGCGATGGGCGAGGATAAGCCCATAGTGGACGATGACCCGTGGGCTCTGCCGGAGCTTCAGCCCACAGGAAAGCCCTGGGCCGGTGAGTAGAGAGGACACCTAGGTCCGCGGGAGGAGCGGAACAGGGTACTGACGCACTGAACGCTAAAGCATGCTTCATGTGTGCTTGCTGGTAGAGATATGGCGCAGTGGTGTTGATATTTTCAAGCGGCTAAGTGCAAATGTTTGTGGCCCCACTTATCAGAAACTTCCGTTTTAACGTAAGAACACAAAGGAAGTAACAAAGAGTCAGTGTGACGTGTCGTTGACGTATAAAGTAACAATGTTAGAATCGTGAGAGGAAGTCGCGTGCCCGCAGATATGACGACTGGTGAGAGGGTGCAGCGTGTGGTCATCAACATCGTCAAGATCATAACGCTGCTGAGCCTGCTGTATCTCTTCATCTGTTCGCTGGACTTCCTCTCTCAGGCCTTCAGACTGGTCGGAGGACGCACTGCCAGTAAGTACCCACTTGTTGCCCGTTGGAAAAGTTGTTTGTTGGTGGGTATATCCTGCACTACGTTAATGTTTGTCGCAGGTGCCTTTCGAAATACCGCGGAACGTTTAATGGTATTTTTAAGGTATGCTTCAAATGATCTTATTCAAATGATCGGAGGGTCTTATTTGGTGCGTTTTAATATAAAATGGAATGCATGTAAGCGTGTTGAGCGTATAGGTAAATTTGACCGTTCACATTGTTACGAAATAGCAGGAAAACAACAACAATCACTTTTAGACCACTGACACGGACTATGTTCGTTTTGGAACAACCCGATACCTGTATTGCATGTCATGCTGCCGATTCCAACCGCGTTGTTTCTTGGTGTCAATGCTATAAATAGCCATTTGTGAAAGGAAAGCACACACGCAATCCGCGGTAGATCTCACTCTGAAGGAATGCAGCAAAGACGAGAAGATGCACCGTTGGTAATAGTCCGTGACCTTATGATAAAAGTTCCTCATCATCTTCAGCATGCATCCAGTGTCTGTCATAGCCGCGTATTCGGAACAGTTCCACGATCTTACGTTTACTGTTCCCCTATGACTGGCGATCCGTTTCCTTATTTATCTTACGACCCGCAACTCAGGTGTCCACCTCCACTTTGTGAACATTACCCTTAATCTGAGCTGATCCACTCTTATAGTCAAATGTCAAGACCATTGACCATCACCCGGTCTGTTCGACAGGTCAGGTCTTCTCCTCGAGCGAGCTGCTGACGAACCCCGTGGTGGGTCTCATGATGGGCTGCTTGGTGACGGTGCTGGTACAGAGCAGCAGCACATCCACCTCCATTATCGTCTCTATGGTCGCCTCAGGACGTGAGTTGGCATCGGGGCATCTGGTAGGATCGTGTACTGATCGTGTGGAACGTGTGCTAGGATCAATTCATATGGTCGCTTCTAGACGCGATTAATTATGTCTTTCCGTCTCGATTAGCCTTCGCCCAAATCTGTCAAAGACACTCTTTAGAAAACTCAGTTCAACTTGTGTCATTCTCACTGCGAGTTCGTCGACAGGTTTCACACACCCTTGTCATTTATATATTAACTAAACTAGAAAGTGTTCGCGTCTGCCTAACACGCATCACCTTGTATGTTTCAGTGCTGCAGGTGCGCACGTGCATCCCGATGATAATGGGCGCCAACATCGGCACCAGCATTACCAACACCATCGTCTCGCTGACGCAGGTCAGTGACAGGTTCAGCTGCCAGTGGCGCCTCTGCTGACTTAGGGGAGGAAAGGGACGCTTAGTTCCGGCAGTCACTGCCGATTCACGCGGTCAACTTTGGGACCGGAAGACACTATGGCGGGGGCCCAAGGTCGTGTGGGAAAAACACCGGCGCTGGCCCGGCAGTGGATCCCGAACCCGTAACCATGCAGGGAAGACCAGCTGGGCTCGACGGCCGCTGTGTCACTGTCACAGTAGCTGCCGGTTTGTGGCGGGTTATTAATTACGCAGCCCTGCTCATCAAGGGCGTGATCGAGTACAGTCATATCCGTCCTAACGAATGAAAAAGTATCAGTTACATGCTGAATGTATCTAGGTAAAAATACACCCAGAGAACTGGTCAGCTGCACTGAAGATGATCGTTTATAATTTTCGGCAATAAGCTTTTACAATGAAAATGTAGATTGGTACGAAAAGTGGCGCACGAAACCATTGGCAGTTGGCACGAAGAGTGGCGCACTGAAGCTTCTCTGTTTGTTCGCCAGGTGGCAGACCGTAACGAGTTTCGCCGGGCCTTTGGCGGCGCCACCGTTCACGACATGTTCAACTGGCTGGCCGTCCTCAGTCTGCTGCCGCTGGAGCTTATCATTCAGGCCATCAACCCGTCAGGTCAAGGTAAGATGTGACCCAGGTTAGGTCAGCAATGAGTGAGGTCACGGTGAGATGAGTGTAGAACCATGTCATGCCAATCATCCAAGGCAAAGCAAGTTAAGCCGTTCAGCGTTGAAACGCCGTGTGATGCAGCGTCTGATGCCAACAATGAACATCGTTTAGCAGAAACGCAAGCATTCCGAGAGCTGATGACGGTCAAGCATCTTCCTCGTGTAATGTTACCCCAAAGACGAGGATATGAGATACTGTGAGGGCTTCATTTGACGTCGCCTTCTCGATGCGTTTGCAGGTTACCTGGAGCTGATGACTGACGCTATCCTGAACTCAGTCAACCTGGACACAGCCAAGGGCCACAAGCTGAAACTACTGAAGGTCATCACCTCGCCTTTCACGTCCCTTGTCATCAAGGTGAGACCCTGACGATGCTGCTGATTCGTTGTGTTCGTCACCTGTTGAACCTCGACTTGGAGCCAATTCCCAGCAAATCTTAATGCCGACAAAAAACTAGTCGACTCAACATGACGTTTTCCCTTCGTCTGTCCATCCGCAGACGGATAAGAAGGTGCTGACTGGCTGGGCGCTGAACGATTCGCGCTACTTTGACGCCTCGCTGGTGAAACACTATTGCAAGTACGAGACGACCACGGTGCTTGGTGCGAACAACGTCACGGAGACGGTCAAGGTGCCGCTGGAACGATGTAAGTAAAGTATTCGGGATGTGGGTGGGCCCTCAGGCAGCGCGAGCGGGGCGCATCTCGCCGAATAGCTTCATTAAGGGTACCCAAACATGGCATGAACATTTGCATGGGGTGATTTGGATTCTACTAGCCGCGCTACTAGCCGATATAAAAATACAAATTGAAAACATTATAGATAGTGAATAATTGAACGTTGATATTAACGCAGTTGGTTGCACAAGATAAAAACCACAATAAATAGTCCCATCTACACCAACGCAAGATCGTTAAGTTTCGAGAAGAAATAACCACTGACTTGGCCTCGCCTCGCCAGGTCACTCGCTGTTCAGTCTGACAGACCTGCCGGACCTGTACGTCGGCCTCATCCTCCTGGTGATTGCGCTCGTCCTGCTCTGCGGCTGTCTCGTGCTTATGGTGAAGATCCTGCACACGCTACTCAAGGGTAAGTGAAAGACGCCAACTTCGGAGATACGAATGGACAGAAAAAAAAATTGCTGTCGCCTGTCGAGCGACCTGTATGATTCAGTGTGAAATAAGGAATCGCGTGTTAAGTTTTGAAATAATATGGAAGATACCCGCAGACAAGGCTATATAAACCAGGTAGAACGCTCCCGCCGAAAAACTGGGGACAAAAATGAATTTAGTAACCGCGACTCTGGGGACCAAACAAACTCAGGTTGCCATGGTAACGGGGCAAATTTGGCATGAGTACGCATCTAATAACTCATTTTTCAACGAATTGTTTTAGAAAAAAGGAAAAAGACTTGTCGGACCACTACAAGAATGTATTGTAGTTTTCATAGCCGACCCGAGTTTCTATCAGACTGGCCTAAATAATATCGAAATCAAGTCCTAAACTGAACGACCCGTGCTGCTATAGGTTACCTCTAACGCTCTGCCCCCCAAAATCGTCACTGGCTTATCAGCCAATGAGCGTCGAGTATTGCCGTACGCTGATTGGTGGGATTACCGAAGTTGTTGTTTAGAATGCTTATGGTGCTGACAGCGCTAGCGAATGTGTCTCCACTTTTCGTAATGTTAAAAGCCCGGAGCGCATCCCCCTGCCCGCGGATAAACATTTGATCTAAAATAACTGTGACATGAATAGAATGCGACCGCACTGATTGCAGGACCCTCAGTTCAGGAGATCCGAGGTCTGAGCGTTTGCTTTTTATTGACACACATGCAGCCATACAAGAATGCTTCCGCCACGGAGATAACAGCTCTGTTCACCTCATCAGTATTTCGCTGATGTTTAAGTCCGTAACGTCCAATCGACACAGAAGTGCCATCATTCATCACGGAATTACGACATGCATGATGCATCCGTCTTTTACAGCGAAACGAAGCGAGTGCTTTCGTCTCTTTACAAATTAAACCGAAACATTTTGAATCACAGTCATCCTTTAAGAAGCATTAAAAATAAGCACCTTCGCCAGAAACAGTACAGGAAAGCACTGAAAACGCCTCTACATTAGTACATTAGTCTCAAGTGCAGCTGGAGGACCGAGGAAGCTGAGCATTTGCCACGCCGTTGATCTCTATCTTCTCTCCATTTACAGGCAGCATCGCTGTGGTGATCCGCAAGACGCTCAACGCCAACATCCCGTACATGCCGTGGCTGACCGGCTACCTGGCCATCCTGGTGGGCTGCGGCATGACCATCCTGGTGCAGTCCTCCTCCGTCTTCACCTCGGCCATGACGCCGCTGGTCGGCGTGGGCGTCATCTCCTTGGACAGGATGTACCCGTTGACGCTCGGCTCCAACATTGGTACGACGACCACGGCCATCCTGGCAGCGCTGGCAGCCTCAGGGGACACACTCCGACCCAGCATTCAGATCGCGCTGGTGCACTTTTTCTTCAACATCTCGGGCATCTTGCTCTTCTACGTGTTGCCGTTCATGCGCTGGCCGATCCCGCTGGCGCGCGGCCTGGGTAATATAACGGCCGACTACCGCTGGTTCGCCGTCGCCTACCTGCTGGGCATGTTCCTGCTGCTGCCGCTGGTCGTGTTCGGTCTCTCGCTGGCTGGCGCCGTGGTGCTGTACGTGGTGCTGGCGCTGGTGGCAGTGCTGGCGCTGGCCGTCGGCCTGCTGAACCTGCTGCAGCAGCGCGCGCCTCGCCTGCTGCCGGACGCGCTGCGCACCTGGGAGTTCCTGCCGGAGCCGCTGCGCAGTCTGGCGCCGTACGACCGGCTGGTGTCGGCGCTGACGGCCCGCTGTCGCTGCTGCCGTTCCGCCCAGGCCGACGACTCGGCGCCAGAGAAGTCGGCCGACGCGACGCTGCAGTTCAACGGCAAGCCGACGGGCAACGGGTTCGACAACCCGGCCCTGGAAATGGACGTCCGGCCAGTCAGCTACAGCTCCCGCAGCGTCGACTAGCCGGGTCGGCCGCCGCCGCCGACACAGCTGCGGGGCGGCGGAGCAGCAGCGCCTGTGCCCGGGCGACGTGCGCTCAGCAGGACGGCCGCGGTGTCAGTCCAGACCGCAAGAAGTGGTGAATGCTCAGGAACAACGGCGGAGGATGGCCCGCTCGGAGGCGCTGCGCACGGTATCGCCGGCACCAGGCTTGTAGACGCCGGCTCATGTAGGCTAGCCTGTAGCTGCGAGTGACTAGCCGGCGAGTTTGTACTTAATTTTACATTATTTGTGTTCTGACGAGTGTTATTTAATCATAATGACATCCATGTAAGTGCGGGACGTTCATCAGCCATGTGAAAGGCTCCATCGACGCATGTGTATCGCGGCTGGGAATAAGATCACGTGGAGGATCAACCAATCTCAAAGGCGACGCAAAGCACAGAGACACAAAGCACTGCCAAAATGCACCCTGACAGCCGACATGGGGCGGGGGCTATAGGTCGAGATAAGCACCATCGAAAAGCCCGGTGGCTGTTGGACTGACGGACAGGGTCCACATCCTGGAGGCGTCGTCTCAATGGCCCCATCACTGAGGTCGATTCCATCAGTGACTCTGCATTGGTGATACTGTTACTGCACTGGCACTGAGTTACTGCAATGGTTCGACGCAGGGTCGTCCCACTGATTCCGCCGCCTGACCGCACCCTCAGCAGAGCGATCCGTCCACGGTGTTTACCGTTCTGCGCGTCACTTCCAGTTACGCGCAGCCTTCGTGGAGGGTACGGGTTCAGACCCTGACACGATGTCCGACACGTGGGAGTTCGCATCCAACGCGCTACACATGGCGCTGATCTATAGCGTTCGTTCGACATGCAGGTGCAGTCTCTCTTGAAAGTAACGCTCCACAGTGCGACAGTGTGTGTCATCAAGCCCGACCGAGGCCCGACTGCTCAGTTAGAGAGCCACCGGGCAACTTGACCTGGAAATAGATGAGGATGTCGGGGAGGAAGGGAAGAAAGAAGGCCGAACCGATTTTAGCCGTTATTTCAACAGTACGTCCTTTCTATGAGTGCTTCAACAAGTACGTCCTTTCCCCGTGTTGCGGTACTTTCAAGAGAGACTGTACTGAACGTGAAGTGCGCTGACTAAAACTGTAACTGTATGTCGTGTTTCGCCCAGTTTACGAATTGTGTGCTTCAGTTCGGTCCAGAAGTGTCACACGTCCGATGTTCATTCCAACAGGCTGTACTTTCAAAGTGTCATGGTATTTCGTTTGTGGAAACTTTTGACTGTGAATTACGAAATCAGTATTTTGGTAAGTGTCTCATGAAATAAATGCAGAAAAGACTTACGTCATTTTCTTCGATCCCATGACAATAGTACGTGGTTAATGGTCATGTCCGCAGCATAAGTCAGACATTTATCTGCGACGACTTCAAATCCTTCACTGTACCTATCCTGTAGAAAATCACAACTCCAGCAAACATCTCTCCACAAGCTGCGTAGGTAGCTACCTTTCTAACCCTTACCAATGCCCTCGTCAAACCGGATATGGCGGACCGCGCGAAATCGCCCTCTGGAACCCCACATGTCAGTTTAGCACGTCACCTGCAGGCACATGACCTATCGATTTATCGAAGCAGCAAAGACAGTGGACACCATGCACAATATAGTACCACATCCCTTCAGTCCGCAGTCCACCAAACAGTCATCGATCGGTCTCGTCCATCCCGTCTGTAACGTTATCGTGCGTGTTCGGGGGCGGGGTAGACGGTCGGCGGGGAGGGGGAGGGATGTCGCGCCGGGCTGGGCCGAGGGCGGGACCCACGGCGGATAGAGCCGACACAGGAGAGCCGGCAGAAGCACAGCCACCTGCGGCAGATCCTCGCCAGCACTCACGGTGAGCGCACCAACCAACGACAGCCGGTCACTCACCCGACAGTACGCGGCTCGGCAGGCGTCAGCGATGGACCTTCCGCCGGCCTATGAGGTGAGTGCTATGCCAAAATATAGTTATAGTTGTGCCAAAGCGCTAGGGTCGAGTGAAAAGAGAACGTGCGCGAGGTCTTCTGCTTATTCCGTGAGTTGCTTCGTTGCTCGGAAGTTTATTGTTTATTGTTTATTTCATAAAAGCAATCCACAGGCACATTACCCATTTACGGATGCAGTCAGAGTTAAAAAAGATAAATACATCACACACAATACGACTTAAGTGTGGACTTACGGTACCTTTTCATGATGCGTGCATCGATTATCTCGCGAGTCGCGAGCTTTACATTCCTGTGAGTTTTGTAAGAGCTCCCAAAGTAGATAAATGCACATCTCAAATTACCTATCACATAGTTCATTTGAGCCGACACTGGGTGGCCTCCTTCCTTCGTTCCAGGACACCAGCGTTCATCTGGCGATGGGCGAAGACAAGCCCATAGTAGACGATGACCCGTGGGCTCTGCCAGAGCTTCAGCCCACCGGAAAGCCCTGGGCTGGTAAGTGTCCGAGGAGAACGGGGATTAAGAAAAAGACGAAACAGGCTAAAGTGGACAACTGCTGTGCCATAGTTGCACGCTGCTGTGGTACGTAGAATTACATTGCACCATGAGTGAAGTGAAGCATGCGATAGCAGCGAGTCTTCCTAACAAGTTGAACTGTAGGTACCACCAAAGATAGTTAAAATCTTGACTTGATTCTGGCTGCGTCTAAACAGAAAGCAGAGCTTTGAGTGACAACAACGAATCGTGGCGTCACTATCCAAGGTGAGTACCTAAACTCGGCGTGCCCGCAGAAATGACGACCAAGGAGAGGGTGCAGCGCGTGGTCATCAACATCGTCAAGATCATAACGCTGCTGGGCCTGCTGTATCTCTTCATCTGTTCGCTGGACTTCCTCTCTCAGGCCTTCAGGCTGATCGGAGGACGTAGCGCCAGTAAGTACTCTGTACTGACCTGACTGCACCAGTCGCATTGTCATATCCTGGATGCCTTATCTAGACAAAGGGCCTGCTAATGGTTGCGGGACTAAAGTAAATGTTACTAACAGTCTGAGAATGGTTTACGGTACGGGTATCGAGAGGATTTATCTGTCGAAAACAAGCGTGCCCATCATAGCCGGACATGGTCCGTCCCAAAAACCGACTACAACTGGATGTGCCCTCTCCTACCATCCCAGTCAAGATTCTCATTCGTATCGAGCGCCGGAACGACTCGACCCTGGGCTCTAGCCACTGGCTACCTAATGAGCTAAGGGACGGTTCCTGGTAGCGTACACAGTATCCTCCCGCCACAGGTAGGTAACCGAATTCATATATAATTTGGAAAATTCAACCTTTGGGCCCACTCCAGTCCAGGCAGACATAAATGGCTGGACTACGTAAATTACATCCTGAATATCCTCAGCCGGCATCCTACACGACGACGTTCCAGTTCTTCACTATGATAGGCAAATGTGTGCAAATGCACAAAATAAAACAAAATATGAATGTTTGAGCTTGCCATCTAAGTATTTTATCTGCATTCCTCGATCCGTTCCTCTCGCTATCAATGGCGTGAGAGGCGAGGTCACGCTATTCGACAGCGTAACAATCCGCCACGCGGCCCCTGACGTCACGTGCATGACATGACCTCTATATGGGTACGGCCTTGGCTTTAGCGCTTTACCTGTCGTTTGCTCGCTTGTAAACATAATCGATTTATGGTGTGCTTTATTTGAATTGTGGTACTTAACGACAGTAAGTGGAAGGTTGTACATTACCGTCATAGTTTGGGCCGGGCGATTTGCTAGGGTGACAAAAGACTACATCGATACGTGTTTCACGCTGTCGATGCGTGTTCCCGCACTGTGACTAGGTCACTACTTGTTTAGTAGTAGCGATAGTTGGTTATAATAAATCGCGGCGCGAGTGGGGTTTATTCGTAATTATTTCACCTGCCTGGATAATGCGAGGTCGTGATCGTTCGTGGAAAAGCTGGTAAGTAAAGTAAACGGGCTTATCCACTCTGGGAAGTGGGAAGCTGATGCACTAACTCATAACTGACGCAACAATAAGGTGACAAGCACCACCACTCGTCCATGGACTGTTCCAAATTCCAATGTCATCTCATGACCATCGCCCGGTCTGTTCGACAGGTCAGGTGTTCTCCTCGAGCGAGCTGCTGACAAACCCCGTGGTGGGTCTCATGATGGGCTGCTTGGTGACGGTGCTGGTACAGAGCAGCAGCACATCCACCTCCATTATCGTCTCCATGGTCGCCTCAGGACGTGAGTAGTTTTTTATGCTGGCTTCTTTGGTTGTTCTTAAGTATAGTTACAACGTTCTGTCTTTGGTCACCTTGCAGGACGTGAGAAGCTTCTCCAAATCTTCAAGTTTCTTTAAATCGCAGCCCGGAGCCCCTACAGACCAGAGTGGTCTTCGATTTTGGTTTCAATGGTTGTTCCTAAGCACTGTTCCGACGTATTCGATCACCCCAGGACATAAGCTCTACTCCTTGGCCACTTCACACAAAAGTTGTTTCCGAGACACGTCGTGACGCTCTTTGATCGCATGGACGTGAGTAGTTCCGTGGTACGCGAGTATTTCAAGACGTTCTTTAGTCGTATTGGGACGTGAACAGTCCCGTCCTTTTTGTAGGTATCTGTAACATCATATTGGAAAACCAGGCGACCACTCAGCGAGTTTGTTGTGTTTGCAGTGTTGGAGGTGCGCACGTGCATCCCGATGATAATGGGCGCCAACATCGGCACCAGTGTCACCAACACCATCGTCTCTATGACCCAGGTTGGTATCAGGTCAGACTGCAGGTTACTATAAAGCAGGTAGTCGTATTTGGGCGCCTGACAAAGTCTACGGGATTTTGCGGGATTGCTGAGCGCTGAAGTTTCGTCGTTTGCCCACTAGGTCGCAGACCGTAACGAGTTTCGCCGGGCCTTCGGCGGTGCCACCGTTCACGACATGTTCAACTGGCTGGCCGTTCTTGTCCTTCTGCCGCTGGAGGTCATCACCGAGGCCATCAACCCGTCAGGTCAAGGTAAGTTGCGGCTCATGTTAGATCAACAGCCCGTCAAGTCAACGTGAGGGTTGACAAGGTCATGTCAGCAGTCCTCCAGAAGAGGCAAAGTTGTCCAAGTCAATCGTGCAGCAGGGCAGGCGATTCCTGGGCTGTCCTAAGCGACGTGATGCCGCCCAGCCCGAGCCGAACTAGCCGGCTTCTCTAGAGGTGAGAGATCGGCCGGCAGTGGCACTCCCCGGTCAGGCTGCGCCTCGAACGGCCAAATGGAGTCGCACATCGCCGTCTGAGGCACAACATGAGGACCAGACCGGACCGATCGGGGCCAACGGTCTTCCACGAGGAGTGCACAAGGAATGTCTTATCATGTGGGCTTTGCGGAAACTTGTGACGGCAAAACAGCTTTCTCATGCAACGCCAAAAAATCAGGCAATGGCATGGCTTACATTTAACAACATCTTTTCAATCCGATCGCAGGTTACCTGGAGTTGACGACTGACGCCATCTTGAATTCCATCAACCTGGACACGGCCCAGGGCCAGGAGTTGGAGCTGCTAAATGTCATCACCAAGCCGTTCACGTCGCTTGTCATTGTGGTGAGACACTGACGATTCACTGCAGTACCGTCAACGACAGTAGCAATTAGTTGTCATGATTGATGATGGCAAGAACTCGCACTACCTACGTTGAGCAATTGCGTCCCCATGTACATCCACTTTCATTCAGTTCCACGCTGATGCTGCCATCTTAGGCGTCTGAACATCGACGCGCATGGACATTTCGTCATCAGATCGGGAGGCCACATTCTGTCCAACCCACTTTTAAACTATAGAAGTCCAACCAAGTTTTACGACAATTTAGCATTGATTTGCCTGCCTAAGGCCCTAAAATATTTACATGATGAGGAAAAAAATATGCGTAGCTGCATATTTTTGTGTCAGCAAGCCATTTGTGTTAGTGCCATCTGTACTCGGCGATGCACTAACGAGCCTATCCTTTGTCGTCAGACGGATAAGGATGTGCTCACCGGATGGGCGCTAAACGACTCGCGCTACAATAACGCCTCGCTGGTCAAACACTACTGCGTGTTCAATGTCACCGAGACGGCAGAGATTCCACTCGAGAGGTGTAAGTAGCCGGGAACCGCGACACAGAATGAACATATCTCTTCACAAGTGAGCCTCTTTAGAAATTGATCACTGCACTGCATTAATCACGAGCTACTAGGAATCACCAATTAAACTTCAGAGCCTCATGGCAGACGATGGACAAGCAACGTCAAAGCCGCAATATTTTACATCGTTAGCGCTAATTCGAATGTGAAGGTTCGAGTCACGACCCTTGACCATTGACTTGGCCTCGCCTCGCCAGGTCACTCGCTGTTCAGTCTGACAGACCTGTCGGACCTGTACGTCGGTCTCATCCTGCTAGTGGTCTCGCTCTTCCTGCTCTGCGGCTGTCTTGTGCTCATGGTGAAGATCCTGCACACCTTGCTCAAGGGTAAGTGGAAGACGCCAACTTCGGGACGACACGGGGCTAAGAATGGGGAGGAATATGTGTAGTCGCTTCTCGGGCAACGTAATCTTTTTCCAAGCCAGCAATCCGATAGGGAAGCGAGCTACCCACAGGTCCACACATTGACCTGACATTTACTGTGACGAGAAAATAAATAATTAAATGCAACGGATTACCACGGTGACTTATAAATATTACCTTACCTTACGTGCGACGGTGAGCAAAGGAGAATTCAATTCAGGAGATCCGATCCCCACAGTGCTGAGCGCTTGATTTTTCAGTGACACAATTACGCACGTGGAGATGTTAGACAAGGATACTCCTGCTGCGGAGATCACGGCGACAGCGAAACCCTCAAGTCAAGTTTCGCCGATATTCCCCCAAATAAGAGCGCGACAAATTCAATTAAATTTCCAGGAAAGATAAGGGAAAATCACGGGATTCCCGCTTAGAATAACATGCACAGTCGTTATACGCGTTCATGGGAGTGACATCGCCAAACCGCAAAAGTATTACGCAGGTAAGCTATATGCATTCGTGTACCTAAGTGTTCTTCTGGCAGCGGCTAAACATCGGCATCAAGCAACATTTTTGAACGTCCCCGATTTTCATTGTGCCCACAGGCAGCATCGCTGTGGTGATCCGCAAGACGCTCAACGCCAACATCCCGTACATGCCGTGGCTGACCGGCTACCTGGCCATCCTGGTGGGCTGCGGCATGACCATCCTGGTGCAGTCCTCCTCCGTCTTCACCTCGGCCATGACGCCGCTGGTCGGCGTGGGCGTCATCTCCTTGGACAGGATGTACCCGTTGACGCTCGGCTCCAACATTGGCACGACGACTACTGCTCTTCTGGCGGCGCTGACAGCAACGGGGGACACACTCCGACCCAGCATTCAGATCGCGCTGGTGCACTTTGTCTTCAACATCTCGGCCATCGTGATCTTTTACGTGGTGCCGTTAATGCGTTGGCCGATCCCGCTGGCGCGCGGCCTGGGTAATATAACGGCCGACTACCGCTGGTTCGCCGTCGCCTACCTGCTGGGCATGTTCCTGCTGCTGCCGCTGGTCGTGTTCGGTCTCTCGCTGGCTGGCGCCGTGGTGCTGTACGTGGTGCTGGCGCTGGTGGCAGTGCTGGCGCTGGCCGTCGGCCTGCTGAACCTGCTGCAGCAGCGCGCGCCTCGCCTGCTGCCGGACGCGCTGCGCACCTGGGAGTTCCTGCCGGAGCCTCTGCGCAGTCTGGCGCCGTACGACCGGCTGGTGTCGGCGCTGACGGCCCGCTGTCGCTGCTGCCGTTCCGCCCAGGCCGACGACTCGGCGCCAGAGAAGTCGGCCGACGCGACGCTGCAGTTCAACGGCAAGCCGACGGGCAACGGGTTCGACAACCCGGCCCTGGAAATGGACGTCCGGCCAGTCAGCTACAGCTCCCGCAGCGTCGACTAGCCGGGTCGGCCGCCGCCGCCGACACAGCTGCGGGGCGGCGGAGCAGCAGCGCCTGTGCCCGGGCGACGTGCGCTCAGCAGGACGGCCGCGGTGTCAGTCCAGACCGCAAGATGTGGTGAATGCTCAGGAACAACGGCGGAGGATGGCCCGCTCGGAGGCGCTGCGCACGATATCGCCGGCACCAGGCTTGTAGACGCCGGCTCATGTAGGCTAGCCTGTAGCTGCGAGTGACTAGCCGGCGAGTTTGTACTTAATTTTACATTATTTGTGTTCTGACGAGTGTTATTTAATCATAATGACATCCATGTAAGTGCGGGACGTTCATCAGCCATGTGAAAGGCTCCATCGACGCATGTGTATCGCGGCTGGGAATAAGAGCACGTGGAGGATCAACCAATCTCAAAGGCGACGCAAAGCACAGAGACACAAAGCACTGCCAAAATGCACCCTGACAGCCGACATGGGGCCATAGGTCGAGATAAGCACCATCGAAAAGCCCGGTGGCTGTTGGACTGACGGACAGGGTCCACATCCTGGAGGCGTCGTCTCAATGACCCCATCACTGAGGTCGATTCCATCAGTGACTCTGCATTGGTGATACTGTTACTGCACTGGCACTGAGTCACTGCAATGGTTCGACGCAGGGTCGTCCCACTGATTCCGCCGCCCGACCGCACCCTCAGCAGAGCGATCCGTCCACGCTGTTTGCCGCTGCGCGTCACTTCCAGTTACGCGCAGCCTTCGTGGAAGGTACGGGTCCAGACCCTGACACGAGGTCCGACACATGGGAGTTCGCATCCAACGCGCTACACATGGCGCTGATCTATAGCGTTCGTTCGACATGCAGGTGCAGTCTCTCTTAAAAGTAGTGCGACAGTGTCATCAAGCCCGACCGAGGCCCGACTGCTCAGTTAGAGAGCCACCGGGCCACTTGACCTGGAAATAGATGAGGATGTCGGGGAGGAAGGGAAGAAAGAAGGCCGAACCGATTTTAGCCGTTGATTCACTAGTACTTCCTTTCCCCGTGTTGCGGTGCTTTCAAGATGGACTGTACTGAACGTGAAGTGCGCTGACTGAAACTGTAACTGTATGTCGTGTTTCGCCCAGTTTACGAATTGTGTGCTTCAGTTCGGTCCCAGAAGTGTCACACGTCCGATGTTCATTCCAACAGGCTGTACATTCTAAGCGTCATGGTATTTCGTTTGTGGAAACTTTTGACTGTGAACTACGAAATCAGTATTTTGGTACGTGTCTCATGAAATAAATGCAGAAAAGACTTACGTCATTTTCTTCGATCCCATGACAATAGTGCGTGGTTAATGGTCATGTCCGCAGCATAAGTCAGACATTTATCTGCAACGACTTCAAATCCTTCACTGTATCCCGTAGAAAATCACCATTCCAGCTAACATCTCTCCACAAGCTACGTAAGTAGCTACCTTTCTAACCCTTACCAATGCCCTCGTCAAACCGGATATGGCGGACCGCGCGAAATCGCCCTCGGAAACCCCACATGTCAGTTGATCACGTCACCCAGGCACATGACCTACCCCAGCAGCAAAGACAGCGGACACCGTGCACAACATAGCATCACATCCCTTCAGTCCGCAGTCCACCAAACAGTCATCGATCGGTCTCGTCCATCCCGTCTGTAACGTTATCGTGCGTGTTCGGGGGCGGGGTAGACGGTCGGCGGGGAGGGAGGGAGGGAGGGATGTCGCGCCGGGCTGGGCCGGGGGCGGGACCCACGGCGGATAGAGCCGACGTAGAAGAGCCGGCAGAAGCACAGCCACTTGCGGCAGATCCTCGCCAGCACTCACGGTGAGCGCACCAACCACCGACAGCCGGTCACACGTCCGATAGCACGCGGCTCGGCACGCGCCAGAGATGGACCTTCCGCCCGCCTATGAGGTGAGTGCTATGCCGAAATATAGTTGTGCCAAAGCGCTAGGGTCGAGTGAAAAGAGAACGTGCGCGAGGTCTTCTGCTTATTCCGTGAGTTGCTTCGTTGCTCGGAAGTGTGGACTTACGGTACCTTTTCATGATGCGTGCATCGATTATCTCGCGAGTCGCGAGCTTTACATTCCTGTGAGTTTTGTAGGAGCTCCCAAAGTAGATAAATGCACATCTCAAAATACCTATCACAGAGTTCATTTGAGCCGACACTGGGTGGCCTCCTTCCTTCGTTCCAGGACACCAGCGTTCATCTGACGATGGGCGAAGATAAGCCCATAGTAGACGATGACCCGTGGGCTCTGCCAGAGCTTCAGCCCACCGGAAAGCCCTGGGCTGGTAAGTGTCCGAGGAGGACGGGGATTAAGAAAGAGACGAAACAGGCTAAAGTGGACAACTGCTGTGCCATAGTTGCACGCTGCTGTGGTACGTAGAATTACATTGCACCATGAGTGAAGTGAAGCATGCGATAGCAGCGAGTCTTCCTAACAAGTTGAACTGTAGGTACCACCAAAGATAGTTAAAATCTTGACTTGATTCTGGCTGCGTCTAAACAGAAAGCGGAGCTTTGAGTGACAACGACGAATCGTGGCGTCACTATCCAAGGTGAGTACCTAAACTCGGCGTGCCCGCAGAAATGACGACCAAGGAGAGGGTGCAGCGCGTGGTCATCAACATCGTCAAGATCATAACGCTGCTGGGCCTGCTGTATCTCTTCATCTGTTCGCTGGACTTCCTCTCTCAGGCCTTCAGGCTGATCGGAGGACGTAGCGCCAGTAAGTACTCTGTACTGACCTGACTGCACCAGTCGCATTGTCATATCCTGGATGCCTTATCTAGACAAAGGGCCTGCTAATGGTTGCGGGACTAAAGTAAATGTTACTAACAGTCTGAGAATGGTTTACGGTACGGGTATCGAGAGGATTTATCTGTCGAAAACAAGCGTGCGCATCATAGCCGGACATGGTACGTCCCAAAAACCGACTACAACTGGATGTGCCCTCTCCTACCATCCCAGTCAAGATTCTCATTCGTATCGAGCGCCGGAACGACTCGACCCTGGGCTCTATAGCCACTGGCTACCTAATGAGCTAAGGGACGGTTCCTGGTAGCGTACACAGTATCCTCCCGCCACAGGTAGGTGACCGAATTCATATATAATTTGGAAAATTCAACCTTGGGGCCCACTCCAGTCCAGGCAGACATAAATGGCTGGACTACGTAAATTACATCCTGAATATCCTCAGCCAGCATCCTACACCACGACGTTTCAGTTCTTCACTATGATAGGCAAATGTGTGCAAATGCACAAAATAAAACAAAATATGAATGTTTGAGCCTGCCATCTAAGTCTTTTATCTGCATTCCTCGATCCGTTCCTCTCGCTATCAATGGCGTGAGAGGCGAGGTCACGCTATTCGACAGCGTAACAATCCGCCACGCGGCCCCTGACGTCACGTGCATGACATGACCTCTATATGGGTACGGCCTTGGCTTTAGCGCTTTACCTGTCGTTTGCTCGCTTGTAAACATAATCGATTTATGGTGTGCTTTATTTGAATTGTGGCGCTTAACGACAGTAAGTGGAAGGTTGTACATTGCCGTCATAGTTTGGGCCGGGCGATTTGCTAGGGTGACAAAAGACTACATCGATACGTGTTTCACGCTGTCAATGCGTGTTCCCGCGCTGTGACTAGGTCACTACTTGTTAAGTAAGAGCGATAGTTGGTTATAATAAATCGCGGCGCGAGTGGGGTTTATTCGTAATTATTTCACTAGCCTGGATAATGCGAGGTCGTGATCGTTCGTGGAAAAGCTGGTAAATAAAGGAAACGGGCTTATCCACTCTGGGAAGTGGGAAGTTGATGCACTAACTCATAACTGACGCAACAATAAGGCAACAAGCACCACCACTCGTCCATGGAAACTGTTCCAAATTCCAATGTCATCTCATGACCATCGCCCGGTCTGTTCGACAGGTCAGGTGTTCTCCTCGAGCGAGCTGCTGACAAACCCCGTGGTGGGTCTCATGATGGGCTGCTTGGTGACGGTGCTGGTACAGAGCAGCAGCACATCCACCTCCATTATCGTCTCCATGGTCGCCTCAGGACGTGAGTAGTTTTTTATGCTGGCTTCTTTGGTTGTTCTTAAGTATAGTTACAACGTTCTGTCTTTGGTCACCTTGCAGGACGTGAGAAGCTTCTCCAAATCTTCAAGTTTCTTTAAATCGCAGCCCGGAGCCCCTACAGACCAGAGTGGTCTTCGATTTTGGTTTCAATGGTTGTTCCTAAGCACTGTTCCGACGTATTCGATCACCCCAGGACATAAGCTCTACTCCTTGGCCACTTCACACAAAAGTTGTTTCCGAGACACGTCGTGACGCTCTTTGATCGCATGGACGTGAGTAGTTCCGTGGTACGCGAGTATTTCAAGACGTTCTTTAGTCGTATTGGGACGTGAACAGTCCCGTCCTTTTTGTGTCTGTAACATCATATTGGAAAACCAGGCGACCACTCAGCGAGTTTGTTGTGTTTGCAGTGTTGGAGGTGCGCACGTGCATCCCGATGATAATGGGCGCCAACATCGGCACCAGTGTTACCAACACCATCGTCTCTATGACTCAGGTTGGTATCAGGTCAGACTGCAGGTTACTATAAAGCAGGTAGTCGTATTTGGGCGCCTGACAAAGTCTACGGGATTTTGCGGGATTGCTGAGCGCTGAAGTTTCGTCGTTTGCCCACTAGGTCGCAGACCGTAACGAGTTTCGCCGGGCCTTCGGCGGTGCCACCGTTCACGACATGTTCAACTGGCTGGCCGTCCTCGTCCTTCTGCCGCTGGAGGTCATCACCGAGGCCATCAACCCGTCAGGTCAAGGTAAGTTGCGGCTCAGGTAAGATCAACAGCTCGTCAAGCCAAGGCGAGGGTTGACAAGGTCATGTCAGCAGTCCTCCAGAAGAGGCAAAGTAGTCCAAGTTAATCGTGCAGCAGGGCAGGCGATTCCTGGGCTGTCCTAAGCGACGTGATGCCGCCCAGCCCGAGCCGAACCAGGCGGCTTCTCTAGAGGTGAGAGATCGGCCGGCAGTGGCACTCCCCGGTCAGGCTGTGCCTCGAACGGCCAAATGGAGTCGCACATCGCCGTCTGAGGCACAGCATGAGGACCAGACCGGACCGATCGGGTCCAACCGTCTTCTACGAGGAGTGCGCAAGGAATGTCGCATCATGTGGGATTTGCGGAAACTTGTGACGGGAAAACACATTTCTCATGCAACGCCACAAGAAAAATCAGGCAACAGCATGGCTTATATTTAACAGCACCTTTTCAATCCGATCGCAGGTTACTTGGAGTTGACGACTGACGCCATCTTGAATTCCATCAACCTGGACACGGCCCAGGGCCAGGAGTTGGAGTTGCTGAATGTCATCACCAAGCCGTTCACGTCGCTTGTCATTATGGTGAGACACTGACGATGCACTGCAGTACCGTCAACGACAGTAGTAATTAGTTGTCATGATTGATGATGGCAAGGACTCGTACTACGTTGAGCAATTGCGTCCCCATGTCCATCCACTTTCATTCGGTTCCACGCTGATGCTGCCATCTTAGGCATCTGAACATCGACGCGCATGGACATTTCGTCATCAGATCGGGAGGCCACATGTCTGTCCCACCCACTTTTATACTAGAAGTCTTTTTACGACAATTTAGCATTGATTTGCCTGCCAAAGCCCCAATAGATTTACATGATGAGGAAAAAATATGCATAGCTGCAACAGTCCTAGGCCACTTGTGTTAGTGCCATCTGAACTCGGCGATGCACTAACGAGCCTATTCTTTGTCGTCAGACGGATAAGGATGTGCTCACCGGATGGGCGCTAAACGACTCGCGCTACAATAACGCCTCGCTGGTCAAACACTACTGCGTGTTCAATGTCACTGAGACGGCCGAGATGCCACTCGAGAGGTGTAAGTAGCCGGGAACCGCGACACCGAATGAACATATCTCTTCACAAGTGAAGCTCTATGGAAATGTATCACTGCACCATTAACTCGAGCTACTTGAAAGCACCCATTGAACTCCAGAGCCTCATAGCAGACGATGGACTGGCAACGTCAAAGCCGCAATCTTTTACATCGTTAGCGCTCATTCGAAGGTGAAGTTTCGAATCACCACTGACTTGGCCTCGCCTCGCCAGGTCACTCGCTGTTCAGTCTGACAGACCTGTCGGACCTGTACGTCGGCCTCATCCTGCTAGTGGTCTCGCTCTTCCTGCTCTGCGGCTGTCTTGTGCTCATGGTGAAGATCCTGCATACCTTGCTCAAGGGTAAGTGGAAGACGCCAACCTCGGGACGACACGGAGCTAAGAATGGGGAGGAATAGGTGTAGTCGCTTCTCGGCAACCTAATCTTTTTCCAAGCCAGCAATCCGATAGGGAAGCGAGCTACCCACAGGTTCACACATTGACCTGACATTACTGTGACGAGAAAATAAATAATTAAATGCAACGGATTACCTAACGTGCGACGGTGAGCAAAGGAAGATTCAATTCAGGAGATCCGATCCCCATAGTGCTCAGCGCTTGATTTTTCAGTGACACAATTACGCACGTGGAGATGTTAGACAAGGATACTCCTGCTGCGGAGATCACGGCGACGGCGAAACCCTCAAGTCAAGTTTCGCCGATATTCCCCCAAAGAAGAGCGCGCCAAATTCAATTAAATTTCCAGGAAAGGTAAGGGAAAATCACGGTTTACCCGCCTAGAATAACACGCACGGTCGTTATACGCGTTCATGTGAGTGACATCGCCAAACCGCAAACGTATTACGCAGGTAAGCTACATGCATTGGTGTACCTAAGTGTTCTTCTGGGCTCTGGCAGCGGCTAATCATCGGCATCAAGCAACCTTTTTGAACGTCTCCAATTTTCATTGTGCCCACAGGCAGCATCGCTGTGGTGATCCGCAAGACGCTCAACGCCAACATCCCGTACATGCCGTGGCTGACCGGCTACCTGGCCATCCTGGTGGGCTGCGGCATGACCATCCTGGTGCAGTCCTCCTCCGTCTTCACCTCGGCCATGACGCCGCTGGTCGGCGTGGGCGTCATCTCCTTGGACAGGATGTACCCGTTGACGCTCGGCTCCAACATTGGCACGACGACTACTGCTCTTCTGGCGGCGCTGACAGCAACGGGGGACACACTCCGACCCAGCATTCAGATCGCGCTGGTGCACTTTGTCTTCAACATCTCGGCCATCGTGATCTTTTACGTGGTGCCGTTAATGCGCTGGCCGATCCCGCTGGCGCGCGGCCTGGGTAACATAACGGCCGACTACCGCTGGTTCGCCGTCGCCTACCTGCTGGGCATGTTCCTGCTGCTGCCGCTGGTCGTGTTCGGTCTCTCGCTGGCTGGCGCCGTGGTGCTGTACGTGGTGCTGGCGCTGGTGGCAGTGCTGGCGCTGGCCGTCGGCCTGCTGAACCTGCTGCAGCGGCGCGCTCCTCGCCTGCTGCCGGACACGCTGCGCACCTGGGAGTTCCTGCCGGAGCCGCTGCGCAGTCTGGCGCCGTACGACCGGCTGGTGTCGGCGCTGACGGCTCGCTGTCGCTGCTGCCGTTCCGCCCAGGCCGACGACTCGGCACCAGAGAAATCGGCCGACGCGGCGCTGCAGTTCAACCGTAAGCCGACGGGCAACGGGTTCGACAACCCGGCCCTGGAGATGGACGTTCGGCCAGTCAGCTACAGCTCCCGCAGCGTCGACTAGCCGGGTCGGCCGCCGCCGCCGACACAGCTGCGGGGCGGCGGAGCAGCAGTGCCTGTGCCCGGGCGACGTGCGCTCAGCAGGACGGCCGCGGTGTCAGTCCAGACCGCAAGAAGTGGTGAATGCTCAGGAACAACGGTGACGGATGGCCCGCTCGGAGGCGCTGCGCACGGTACCGCCGGCACTAGGCTTGTAGACGCCGGCTCATGTAGGCTTAAGGCTAGCCTGTAGCTGCGAGTGACTAGCCGGCGAGTTTGTCTTTATTTGTGCTTTGAAGTGTTTATTTAATCATCATGAATTCATGAGGGGGCGAGGCGTACAGAAACCATGTGAAAGACTATCGATGCACGTATATCGCAGCTAGTGCGAGATCACTTAGTGGACTTTCGCCAACATGAGGCCTAAACATACGCATAAGACGCAAAACACTGCCAATAATAATGCACTGTTGGGACAAGGGGCGACGAATATTGCCATGACCCCAAATGCCTAGAGGCATAGCCTCGGCTCTTTAATCTAAACTTCGCTCCATCGATTCCATTAGAGACACTGTGCTGATTCCGTCACTGAGACACTTCGATTCTAACACTGTGTCACCGCCATAATACGTCACTGATTCCGATTATTCAGTATTCACATGGTGATTCCGTAACTGTGATCCGTTCGCTTTTGCCGTTGTGTGCGCCACTTCCAGTGACGTACAGGGCCCGCGCAGAAGATACCGGTCCGGCCGGACCCAGACAAGAGGTGCAGGTGGACGGAATGGGAGCAGCGCCTCACTTGGCACTCCTGGCGCTGATCTGTGGCGTTCGTTCGATAGGCAGCTACACTACGTGCAGTGTGTTGATGAAATTTCAACAAAATGTGGTGCCATTTTCAGGACTGGTGCGGTGAGTGATTATTTATTCCTGGTTCAAAGTGAAAATAATGTGTTTGTTCTTATCACAGTGCAGTTAATGGGTGTCATCAGCTTTTCCATTTGCTTCTGTCGTGTCCGAATCAACTTCCGAATAAACGAATAAAGTTTCTTCGCTCTTCAGCGCTCCGGAAGATGGAGAGCTGTCGACAGAAAGTCGCCTCCGTCGTCGAGCCTGTAGAAGCTTGGCGAGGTAAACCATCACACGGATTACCTAAGGATAGATGCGCACGAAGACACAAGGCTGCTCCTGGGCCCAATCTTACCAATGCCGTAAATAGGATTTGGTAAGATTTACATTTTTATTTTCATTCAGCTAATCTTGTCCAATGATTTTGATAGCGTGAATGATTATGAATGTTACCTGAACGAATGAATAAGTGAACGTGGAATATTTCTGAATGTTACCAAATGCCGTGAATGCGCATCCACGGCATTTGGTAAGATTGGGCCCAGGACTGTGAGGCGTGAGCTGTGACTTTACCGGTCAGAAATCCTTCGGTAAATAGGACATCGTCAAACCAGCCAGATAATTTTTATGGCCTTTATCCAGAAACATCTCTCTCATCAGTGGTTATTCAAGTAGGTTGTAGTTTCAGGTGCTGCATTCATTTTGGAAGGATTTGAGTGTGAACTAGCCCTCGCCGGACCTATTGGTTTTCTACATACGCGCCGGCCGGGGGAGGGGGGGGGGGGCGGGTACGACCCCCACCTCGCCGTTTCGCCCCTGGTGGAGCTAGCGCGTCGCGGAAAAAACGAGCGTGTGCGCCGTTACGAGACGCAGAGATTGGTACCCGATTTTAAGGTCCTAGGTCAACCGGTGACCTCTGAGGTCAGGTCAAGTACCCCAAGGTACGGTTCAGTTTTTGGTTAATAACTTAGCAAAAAAAACGGCCGCAGAGCGCCGATTTTGGTAGCATCGTGTCCGCCTCACTCAGGCGCGTCGAATGACATACTTTTTGTTTGGGTCAGGTCAACTTAGGGTGTTGACCTCGGGTCAAGGTCAGGTCAGCGCCCCCAGGTCACGAAGTTGGTCGAAAGAGGTCATGTCGCATATCATTCGATTCGGCAGGTCTTCCTGAGTCCATTGGTGGTTTTCCCGACTCGCTAGCTCAATTTGATCGGGAGTTATTGACGAAAAACTAATATGACCTTGATGACGTCATAAATGACGTCACGCAAGGTCAACATTGCAAAAGTGACGCATCTTACCTTGCAAGGAGTGCATCAAATCACGATTCTGTGTGCTTGAGGTAGTTGGAGATCGTTCCCGGCGCCAGAATAGCAGTTTTATTTTCCCCATTGACTTATAATGGTGAGGTCACGAAAATGACCTGACCTGATATGACCTTTAGGAAAAATCCGAGATATAAAATTGTGAGACTCGTAATGGATACTATATCCTGCAAGTTTCATTTCCCTGTGAAAGCTCCTCTGGCAGTGAGGGCGTTGCGAAGTTGCGACATCTGAAGACCGTGCAGAGGTTCACTTATGACGTCATAGGTCAGTGACCTGACCTGACCTGAAAATGCGGTTGGTGTCAAAAGATCCGGCTTGAATCAAAGGTCAGGTATGCCAAGTTTTAGCTCTCTATCGCCAGCGTGTTCGGAGCTATCGCGAAAATACCCTATGGGGGGGGGGCACCCGACCCCCCCTCGGCCGGCGAAGGCTAGGAAATCAGTACATATTTTGATGCATCACGTCTGAAGCGACTGCTGCCCATTCCTTAGATTCCGCAACAATCTAGCTCCGAGAAATGACACGATTGCAAGGCACCATGTAACTTATTTTAGTTTAAAACTTATTTTTAATGCCACCGAGAGCCGGGGCCAGAAAGAAAAAAAGAATGCGAGGCTGGTTTGAAGTTTACAGCATCACGCATCTACCTGTTTTGGTTTTCATGCACCAGGACCAGCAGCATATTCTTTTGGTTGTCATTCGTTACTTATTTGGGGCTTAAAACACGTCAACTGTGGGGTCATATGCGTGCATAACAATCAACTAGTTACTGCCTTCTGGGTTTTATCGACACAACAATGAGTATCACGCAGTGAGACGATAGCTTTACGACGATATAAAATGCCATGACTCAAACACAATGTCATAAACAATCCGTAGCCACTTTGTTGTTTATTACTGCGACGTAAATAATCATAAAAACGTAATCTACACACAGATCATATCCATAGTTCGAAATGCCTTACACTCGAAAACCGAAATGGCTCGGCTCTTTTCCGAGAAATCAATTTGAATATCCAATCTTTTTAAAGGAAATAGTTCACTTTTAACATGGGGGTTGGAACTGGAATAGCAGTTTTGTTGCTTGCGCTGAGACTAGCACAAATCAGAAGCTTTTACCGCCCAACGATCACCCTAGACGAAGATATTCCATTTTTCGTTCCGAAAAGAGTGCCTTGCAGAGGAATGCGTGCCTTGCTGAGGAATGCAGTCACGTCATCGTCAGCCAATCAGAATGCTGCTTACAGCCGATGGGTTTGTCCTACGCAATATGATTGGTCAACGCGTAATAAGCTTCCGCGTCAAACATTATTTTATATAGAATATAGTTCTTCTTATACTAAAATATAGAAAATAATCCTTTTTACAAAAACGTTTTGTTTTATTTTCTGATCAATTTGAGCATTAAAAAACATAAGTCCATAGCAAAATACTTATTTCAGGAAAGTGAACTATTTCCTTTAATATGCCGTTGAAAGCCCAAGCTGATATCCCCATTGAAATGATGAGTATGTTAACGGCGCACGTTCGCCACCTGCGAATAGTTGTGCACCACCTCTCCGATGATCGGAAATTCAGCATTAGTTCATAGACATATCAAACAGGGCGCAACTGGCCGGGGCCCAAACGGGATTTTTTAAATGGGCGAATCCAGCTTTGGAAATGGAGGACCAAAAGGCCAACTTCTCAACAGCTTAACATTCGTAGAAAAGACAAAATCTCAAAAAAAGGAGGAAAACGCACGTCACCAGTAACAATAAAATAACGAAAGCAGCGATAGTGTCGCGCATCTTGTCGCAAAGCAAGCGGCGAATCTTAGCTTAAAAATAAATAGGAATATCATGGGAATTTCTGCAAGCAGGGTGACCTGATCAGTTGATGAACTGGAGCGCTGTGGCAGTGGGCCAAGCAGACCAACCCTAATGTCTACTTCAAATGGATTGCTTTGCAGCCCTCAGCTAACTCTGATTTAATATCAACTACCTCAAACTAGCATCATCGTGCACATCCCAGCTCATGAAACTTGCATGTGAAGTCGCAGGCATAACACCTCTAGGATGAAAAATGATTACTGGGGGAATGAATGATTTGTACGACTTTGTACCATTCACTATTCTTCCTTCTCTCTTGGCTTTGATACACAATGGACGCGAATGAGTGAATGGGTATGATACCCGAGTATCATATTCCGTTCTGGCAACAGCACCGTGACGGCAGCGATCTACACAGTCTCTGCCACTGCTAGATCGTCTTCGGGCCGCCCCGGGACAGCTACACTTCTAAGAAAGCACCCAAGCAGTAAAGCATCTCGTTCGATCGACCCGAAGGGTCGTCCTGTTTGTATCTGGCCGAATCCTCTTCACCAGATACGTCCCGATATTAATATCCACATGGCCGCGCCAGGTCTCCTCTTTTAAACGCGCTCATCACAGATTGGTGATCATCTTCATGTAGCGCAGGTAGAGCGGGTCGAGGTGCGTGGCGCCGTCGCGCCGCCACAGTTTGTCCTGGATCCACTCCAGCTCGCGGCGGTAGGCGACGAGGTCCACATTGCTGACGCGCGAGGAGGACGGCGCAGCCACCACAGTGCGCCCGGCCTCGGCCCCCTCGCGCAGCAGGCGGCCCGTCATGTGCACGCGCACCTCTGGCAGTCCCGTGTGGAGCAGGTGGGCACAGAGCAGGTGGTAGACCAGCACAGAGTACTCACGGTCCGTGGTGTTGCGCGTGGTCAAGTCCACAGAGCCCGGAGAGTCGCCCTCACCTGGCGGCACGACACGCGGCGGATCAGAAAAGGGAGGACCGAACGCATTGAGTATACAGTAGCCAAGCGGCAAAGACAGACTAGGGGAGAGTGGGGCAAAGCGGCCACCCTAACGTTTCTAACGATGCCGACGCTTGATTTTTAAACTTGGAAAGATTCTTTCTATACCAATGTGATCCCTATTAAATTGTCTTTTATTCCAACTGCGTTTCATTTCCAAAGGCGTTCACATATGGGAGATATTGACAAAACTTTAAACCTATAGCATATTGGCCACTTTGCCCCATCCCTGAGGCAAAGCGGCCACTGGCGACTTCTCAAGTCCCGATATGAGAAACAGAATAGTTGCCTCATGCACGACTAGGGTATTTGATGGTGACAAGGTTTAAGGGAAGATGGATGTTTACTTTGTTATCTTCCCACCTATTGCTAAACAAAGAAAGAATTTTCTTGGAAAAACATTTAATTGCATAATTTGGTAACTCATGTAACCGAAAAGTGGCCAAGATGAATGCATGACGACACATTTGAATATAAATAATGTTTTTATCCAGATGGAAACAACTTATGGCCAATTGGGGGCTGGCCACTTTGCCCCGGCCGCTTTGCCCCGCGCTACCGTCCGAGACAAAAATATTCCAGCTCAGCTATTAGTGGGGTAAAAAGCATTAAAATTGGTAGAAGGCATGTACGATAACCACGCAATGCATGGACAAAAACGCTTATAAAAATTCCAAACGGTTATGGAATAAAATAACATTTAAAAATTGTAAGCATAATTGGTAACCTGGCAAGAAATGCTTTTCCGTGTTTCACAGAACAATGGCGATGGGCCTGAAACCCCGGTCTGGCTCATTCGAACGACCGCAAAGAGAAGTATAATTGGAAATCATAAATTGGAACTGACGCCAGCTGTGGAGGGCTAAAACGATGGATGGCCGCTTTGCCCCGGGTGGCCGCTTTGCCCCACTCTCCCCTACATGTTGTGTTATGGTGGCAAACTTCTTCACCAACATCGAGCTACCATTTCTTGAACATTGCAAGACTTTTATTATCATGCGATCGCAACTGTTACTTTATTTTCTTATCAACTCGCAGTTATTTTGTCTGTACATTTGGTTGATCTATAATTTCAATAAACCACACCACCATTGTAACCGGGTAGAGTGGACGCCATATTCTCAATTTCAGCATCCAATGGCGACGTCACTCGATACCGCCCCTCCGAATGAGTTCCCACCTTCGCCCTCGCCGACCCTCCAGGTGACCCTGGCCTTCTTGGCCGGGCTGCCGGTGGGCGAAAACAGGGCCCCGCTTCAGAGCCGGACGCGGCGCCGTCAGCGCGCCGTTCGAGCCAGCAAAACGCACCGCTCTCTGCCGAAGGGTGTGGACATTCATTGGTATTCATCTGAATTAGGACTGCAGGTGCTTGCCCGTGGTGGCTCGGACAAGACATTGAGGACTACAGCTACTCGTTCGCAACGCCTTGAACAACGCAAGAAGGACTGAAGCTACTTGCCCGCGGTGACTCAAATAAGACGTTGATGACTGACGCTATAAATCGCCTGTGGGGGCTCGAACAAGACATCGAGGACTACAGTAGTCACCTCCTGGTCAGGACTCCAGCAAGACATACAGCTGACACTTCAGTCCACTAACATCATCCTCCGCCACCGATGGTCTCACCTCGTCCGCGGTCGGGGTGCGATTCTCCTGCTCCGTCAGAAAGTGGTCGTGGATCAGTTGCAGTGTCAGCGGTCCGGGCAGCCACCGGCGGCCGTGACGCTGGTGCAGACGCCAGGCGGCCAGCCGAGCCACCAGCCAGGCGGGTCGGAGCTCGCAGAGCAGCTCCTCCACAGCTGACGGCTCCAGGTCTGCGGCACAGCGGAGATGGGGGTAGGTCAGACGGGTCAGCCGGGTCAGAGGTCGGCGGTCAGACAGGGCAGAGGTCAGCCCGGCGGACGGGGAGAACGAGGAGGGAGGAGTGGTGGAGTGTCAGTCAGAGAACTTCTTGCACCTCGGCTAGATGGTGATGGGAAACACGACCGGCAGCGAGACAGTGCAATAGGTGAACACTGAACTAGTAGGTCGCAGCATAAGGTAACATTTCAACGAGAACTATCCCAGCCGGCGGCAGCCTTTCCCGACCCCTCGCTCCCCGGTACTGACTTTTCTCCAGCACGGCGCGGGTCAGGTCACCGGCCATCGCCCGCATGTCGTCCGTGACCTCCAGGAGGCTGTGCTGACCCCGGATCCTGGTCACCTCGGCAGCCATGGCCATCAGACGCTGCCGCACAAAGGTCACACAAGGGTCAAAGGTCGGGTGCAGGGCGAGATGTTATGGCGGGGTGAGAGAAGACGAATGACGTATGAGAACACAACACGACATGAAGCGGCAATAACACCATTATTTATGGTCAATATATCCAAGGAATGTACTATTTAAAAGTGCAACAATAATCACCGTCTAAGAAATGAGGATAAACTTATCACAGAACAATTAAAGTGCCTTCGATAAGGCACACAGAGCACACATATTTGACAAATCAGCACGGCACACGTCAGTGCCTGATTGATAGCTTTTAACAGTCGGATATGTAATTACGTCAATGGTATTAAGGATACTCGCATAAGCCACTGCCAGGTGGTAAATGACTCCCAGCGCCTACTAAAATCACGCCTGATTAACCCACGCCCTGCTGGGGGGGTTTGAACACTGGGGGGGGGGGGGGGTTTGAACACCCCCCCCCCTGTGGTTTTTCGCGAATATCTCAAAAACGACGGCGCGGAGCGCCGCCGTTTTTGGTACACCTTATCATACATCAATTCTACACATGTTGTGAAAATTTCAGACCAAGGTCATTCAAAGTCAGGTCACCAGGTCACTTGAAGTGACCTCACCTCATCAAAAGTTTCAATGTCTGTCATAGCTACACCGAGTGACCGATCGCTTTGAAACTTTCAGCAATTGCTAAGAGCAATAGCATGTACAAAATGTATATCTCAGAATTTTGATATCGATGACCTAAGGTCAGGTCGATTTTGCGACCTCCCCATTATATGTAAGTCAATGGGAGAAAATTGAAATGCGCCTCTTTTGGATGAAAGACATCATAAACACTCCCAAACACCGAATTACAAGTGGTTTAGACACACTGAACATGAAAATGGTGTCCGTGACCCTAGTTTATGCCCTGAGGTCATCTTAGGTCACGAATGGTATCTAATAGTTTTTCGCAAATAACTTTTGATAGAGGCATGCTAGAGCGATGAAAACGCCTTAGATGTGTTCAGCTCGACGATACGGATTAACTGATATGCAACATGACCCTTTCCGGTCAGGTCATGACCTTGACCTGAGGTCAAATTTTCAAGTTGACCTTTCAAGGTCAAGTTATAGTTCATTCGATGCGTCTTGACGAGAGGAACACGATGCCGGTAAAAGTAAGCTCGTACAAGGCTTGGTTCAAAAGTTATTGCAGAAAAACTGTTTCCGAAAAAATCGGCTATTTTTGCAGTTTTTGCCCCCTGCAGGCAAAACCGTTGACGTTAGGTCAAATCTGAGAGAATTACTCAGAAAGGGCGTTAATAGGGCTATCGAATGCGCTTTTCCGCGGCGCTGTAGCTCTATTGGTTCCCGCGTTATGCGTTGGCTTCTTGGAAATTATCGACAATGACATCCGACCTGGAAATCGGCGAAATTTTGCCTTCAATGACCTCTGGTGACCTGACCTTTGACCTGACCAAAAAATTGACCGAAGTGATTTCGTCATTATTTTTGACGCTCTTTCGAACGCCGCCTTCCGCGTATCGCTACGTGGCCCAGAAGCCGAGTTACAAGGGGGGGGGGTGCTCAAACACCCCCCCCCCCCCAGCAGGGCGTGGAAATCCAGGACCCCCAGCCGGGCGCGGGTTAACGGATCACCGAACATTTTAAACCAGTTATCAACAGATGCGCAGAAGCCCATCAAACACGGTCACCCCTCCGTCCATAAGCACCCCTCCCCCGGCCCCACTCACCAGCAGTAACCGTCGGGTGACCATATCGGGGGGCTCGTCGCGCGGCGCGTGCGCCTCCACTAGCCAGCGGCAGAGGTCGCGCGTGGCGGCCACCGAGGCGCCCGGCTGCTGGTCGGCCGTCCACAGGGCGGATACCAGCAGCGGCCAGACGGCCGGACGGAGGTCCTGCAGCTGGGTGGCCGGCTTCAGCCTGCCGACACGGCCCGGCCACCGTCAGCACCGCGCCGCCGGGTACAGAGGCCGTGCGCGGGGGATAGGATGGATGAGTAATGAGTATCAGTGGACAGTGAGTATACATAACTCGTATGGCATGCAGATTGTATGTTGTCACCTAGCTACGTTCCTCAGATAGAGGGTCGTTAACCGAACAGAACGAGATGCAAATGTTGAAACGCATATAAGGCGCGTCATCACGTCATACCTTAGGAGTATTTATAAGATTGGAGAATGCAAAATGAAGATTACTACCGCTCACTGGGAACCATACGCAACAAGCCAACGGCAGCAACTCCTCCGTGCGCTCACCTTGCGCTGGCCCGCCACCAGAAGATCACATCCTCCTCCAGTAGGGTGACCAGCAGGTCCAGCAGCTCGGTGTCCAGCAGGCGCTGCTCCTGAGAGACCTCTGCGCCCGTCTGTCCAGCGTCCCGGCGGCGTCTGTTCGGTGCCGGGGACGCACCGCCGCCGGCCGGCCGCAGACACCGCTCTATGGAGGAGCGCAGCGGCCTCCAGTCCTGACGGACGGGTGGGGTGGATGTAGGGGGGGGGGGGGGGCGTGAGATGAGAGATAGACAGAGCGCTATTGGAGCCTGGAGATGCTGTCCATCTAAAAATGGTAATTTTGTCGCTAGTGTGTTCTGTAAGCAATGATGCAGTAGTGGGTTTCCTTTACGGTGATCTTAGGACTCAAAATGTGTAACGTATATTTACCGTCTGTCTCTTGATCAATGAGCAATCTCTTAACGATGCCGTCTTTCTGTAGTTTGGCCTAAGTGATAAAATAAGTCAGCTGAAGCCAAGAGGATTGAAAGGTGCACAAAGCAGACCTATGCGGCTTTTCCTAGGTCACCGACTCCCCGCTAATCTCTGCAATTCAGGAAGCAATTCCGTGAGCCACACGACCCCACTCGAAAGAGCGCCGTTATCCGTCATTCCCTTATCATAATCCAGTAAAGCCCGCATTTCTGTCGGTCGTGCGGTCGGTATGAGGTCAGAGCGTCTCACCTTCTCTGGTCCCGCCAGCACGGCTTTGTACAGGACGCGTATCCGACGCCCGTGCGGCGGGTGCAGGAAGGCGATCCTGCGGAGCGCGCGCAGACAGCGGCGCCGCACCTCCACCTCACAGTCGGCCTGGGGAGGGGAGGGGAGCAGGTGGATAGGCGAACTCAGTGGCCTACTCAGCTGCGATCAGTGCAGGGTAAGCCTGTAAGCCTGTAACCCCGTGAGTGGCTTATCATATGATGGTAGTGAGTTCACTGAGGATCAATCAACTGAAAAGTAAACAACACGAACGGCTCAGCTGTACCCTATTACACCCTAACAAAGTCCCTCTCTCCATCATACCAACCGGCAACCACACCCGTAATCTGTGCCGATGTGATACGCACCTTGCAGTGTCGCAGCAGGTAGCTGAGTACCTCCGCCGACGGATAGGCGGCGCCACTGAGTCGCGTCTCCAGCGATGTCACGGCGTACAGCAGCTTTCGGCGGTGCTCCTCCTCGGACAGTTCGGCCGGCGGCGCGCCGCGGCGGCGTCTCGAGTCGGGACTGCCGCCCAGGTGGCTCCAGAAGTCGTCACAGAGCCGCGGGGACTCGGCAGTGCGCCGGTCCACCTGTGATACCGGCCGGGAAGGGTCAGGATGGAAGGTATAGCTGTGGGGTGACTGGTGATATGCACAATGAATGCACAATGAACAGTGAACGTCAGGGGTTCACGTGACAGCAGAACGCATACCATATTACCATAAGTTCCTGAGACAATATACCTACTACACCGAACAAAATGAAAGACGAGCAAACACAAAAATGTTCGCGAATCTACTAATAGCGCCCTATTCTCATTCCCCAAGGCACAACACCCCTAGCGTTGAGGGGGCCGACTCGTATGTACCGTGGCGGGCTGGTCGAGCAGCAGTGCCGGCGCCGCGTACACGATCGGTCGCTGCTGCAGCCGGTGCACCACGCTCTCCACGCTCCTCCGAAGGTTGTTGACCATCTTAGCAGCCGCCTCGGAGGGGGGCGGCCGCAGCGCCAGCGGCGGTGATGACGGCGGCGACGGCGGCTCCACCTTCACCGGCGTGGCCGAGGGCGACGGCGCGCGCCGGCGCACCGACGGGCTCGGCGCCGTCGGTGTGGACGAACAGACGCCAGAGGTGGACGGCACGCTCCCATCGGCCCCTGCGGGTCGGGCAGAGCTGGCAGGTCAGTGAAGATTCTTCAGATGATGGCTTCACTAGTCAACATTATTCCAAAAAGAGCTTTACAAAATAATAATACCATACCTATTCAGTGTTCATGAGAAGCTTGTTCACAATGAAATACCTAAAAATTGGAAATACTTGTTACTTTAAAATGGAACAGAATACAGATCCATCAATCAATGCAGACTCAAAGCTTAAATCAAGCACACTCAATTTATATCATGAAGCTACATAAACATGCAATGATCCACAAATCATGCAGGAATTAGATTTTCTCACCTTTGCTTTTAGTTGGTGTATGATAAGCATCCATTGCAGAGTCTTTGATGTCTTCAGCTCAGGCTTATTTTTCGTCAGTCCTTCATCTGACAATCATTATTTGACAATGTTACAAAGCAGTCAGGGCAGTATGTTCCTTTATGGTCAAAATTCAAGTACCCACCTACTAAATGTTTCATATGCCTGATAAATTATTCCAACTATTTATGATGACTAGATAACATCGCATTAAAACTTCACACATGCAAAATAAGACTTCACCTAAAATGCATCAAACAAATAAAAACCACTACCAACTTGCTCTGGTATCGGTAACCCTGGCGTCACCGGTAGTGTTTTCGTTCAAGGCTAAGGTTTCCTGTATTAGGCTGCCGTGCCAAGCCGAACCAAGCTGTGACGTCACTGGGTAAGAGAAGATAACGTACCACGCCATCAACTATCGACTGAGACTCAGATAGACTCAAACCGACTCAAGCAGACTCAAACTGACTCGACCGTACCGTACAGGCTACGGCCCCAGACCACAGCCTCCACCCTGACCTTGACCCTGCACCCACTCATCCATCCAGAATGAATTTCTGTATCCACTGGGTGTGAGGCAGGCATTGTGGTTATCCAGTCTGATTGTTTTGTATTGAGTAAGGAGAAGGCAAGAAGTGTCATATATTATATCTTACTTCAACTTTGATAAAAATTGTTGCGGCTGTGACATTTGCGGCGCAGAGCGAGTGATGAAGTTTACAGAGAATTAGTAATTGCAATTGCAAAGGGGACAAGAAACTGAAATCTCCAACGGACGCATTTTCATTCTAAATCACCTCTGATTTTAAACTTCAATTATGCAGCCAATTGTGTACAAATATATTTGGCTTTACATTGCCTCCCGCAAACCTTTCAAACGCGAACAAATTTGTTTGTTATAAATGTGTTCTAGCTGCAGAACATTTTGTGAATGATTCTTACGTCAAACATTTTCCAGGTACAAAATTTTGAATATTTGTTTTGTTGATTAATGCTTCAAGCATAAGAAACTTATGAAATATCATATCTTCATAGCTTTATCGGTTTATTTTTTCAACTTCCTGAACATTTTGAACATTTGTAGCAAATCACCATGGCAATTGTAAATCTATCTAGCGCTAGCAGGTACGTATGAACGAATTGAACAAAGCTCTCGGATTATGCGAGATTTATAGTCTCTCAAACCTCTCAAACTAGTGACTTTGCCTAGAATTCTAGTCACTATTTGCACAAATATAAAGAGTTCACCAAGAAATCACAAGCATCCTGGCACTGTGCCAAGCGTCAGTTGCGAGTGAAAAGTCGAGAGGGTTGGGTGCTCGCGCGGGTGTGGTCTGATTGTGGGCTTCTTATTGCGAATTGCAACGTGTCAGTAAGTCATTTTGTAGCAAAATGGCTGTTGAAGATTCAGATCTCCGCCAAAGGAAGAAGAAATCTCCCAAAAAGGCCACTGATGCTATCACGGGACAGGTGGTTGACGACGAAGATCTCGTGAAGACTGGAATCGAGAAACTAAAGAAGATCAAGAAAAGTCTTGTGGCTTCAAGTGACAGCGTGAGTTTACAGTCTACCTAGCTAATACCTATTCTATGAGGCTTAGTTATTCTGGTGATGATCTTACAACCAGACAGCCAGAAGTAACTGAAATCCGTGATGTGCCATTCCCATTGTTACCTGTCCTGTCAGGAGTTGTCTGAAAGTACGGTCGTCAAGTCTGAAAGTTGAGTGTCAACAGCCAACATGCTGTCCCTCTAGTCTAAACCTGATTCTTGTTAGTTGAATTGAATCTGCAATCCAGTGAATCCAGATGTTCAAGAGTTCACTTAGGTACATATTCAATGGTCGATTCGTTTTGTCCATGATCAGGTGCTTCTGCTGACCGTGATGTCGTCATGTTGAGTAGCTGCAAGACCTGCCCTGTTCCCACTTCTCATCTGCCCAGAGCTGGCCCAGAGCGTTTTGGAGCCCAACTAGAACATACTTATTACTTACCCATTCACCGCCCTTGAAGTTTTCTGCATTTTTTCCCATGATTTCTGTCCATGCCGATTTTGACCAACATGGTCAAAAAAGAACCCTTATCTGCACTTTATCCTACAGGGATGCCCTCCGGCCGGCAGATTCGCCCAGGATTCGCCAGCGCGTGTCACGTGGCAGCAGCTGAGCGGTGCCGGTCGTTGCCATGACAACCGATCCGGTGGGCGCCCCATGGCTCACTTTCACGTGGCGGTGCCAGCTCATCTTCGCCTTGGAAAGCCGGCAGACCGGTTCTCGGTTGGGCCCGAACATGGGCACTCTCCGGGGCATACCGGGCGCCCTGCCCCTGGCTGCTGCATTTACAATGAACCGACCTAGCGGGGATTGATGAGTGTCCCCTTTGGTCAAGCTTCGGCCAGAAGTTCCCTGCTCATAGTCGTGGTCCCATTTACAAACTGTCCTTCCGTGCAATGACCCGAGACCACACATCGAGTCTGGTCCAGCTGTTCGTCCAGTGACCAACTTTGTAAGTCGCTTATTGTGGTTGCCTTTTGGGCGACGTTGGAAGAGGAACGTCATGTCGAGGGGGCGTAGCTCTGTTACCGTCTGTTCCACAGGCCGTGAGGTGACAGGGACAAGATTTCATTCGCAGCTCACTCCGCCACTGAGGGACGGCACTTTTCGGCCACCGGGATCTGTAGTTCCAGGCAGACCAGGTCTGCCTGGCTCACGATCAGAGCTTACCATTGAGGTTTGGTCAGCTTGTGAGACAATCAACGAGCAACTTACCTTGTTGCAGGTTAGGGTTTCGCTCAAGCCCAATCGGACTGGCTGTTTCATTCAGAGACTCCATCCTAGACTTGACATCTAATTCTAGACCTCGATGGATCGGCCCGGGTCAGATCTGACCGAAGCTCGCCCGAGATGACACCAAGCCCGTTCATTCGAGAGAGGGTGGAGGAGAGCATAGCGATAAAGTGATGAGTGCTGATATCACACCAACCTCAACTAATGCAAGGACCAACGGGCCGCGGGCAATGAAGAGTGTTTTCGCCATGGATTGTTGCGTTTTTACGTTTCCAACTTCCCACAAGTTCGCCCGGGAGTCCGTTTGGTCTCGTCTGTTTCCTGCTGGCGGTGCGGCGGCGACCCGCGCTCGGGACCGTTACCGCTCCTGGCAGCCCGTTACCGCCACAGGGCCGTGACGACGTGACGTCACACTCACACAGACGGTGTGACGTCACGGCTGAGTGACTGCTCACCTGTGCTGTCTGGTTATAGGCAGGTGACGGCGGGTTGACACAGGTAGACAAGTGGGGCGCTTAATGTTGACACAAGATGTGGTCTGTTTTGCTGAGTGAGACCTAGATGATGCTTGGCTGTGGAGTGGCACCTGAACATACTTGGCTGTATGTTCAAGCGCAGATGTTCTTGCGATCAGGCACCTGTGCATCTAGACCGCGGGCCAGTGCTTATTGCTTGGTGTCGAGCTCATGCCTTATGGTGCTTTTCAGTCTGCATGTTTCGTCAAGCTGCTTTTCGTGGCCACTTAGCGTTACTATCTGCAGTTTGAGTCGGCACGCAGTGCCACCCTTTCTGCCCGTCCCACATTCCATTCGTAGCTTTGTTTTTCTCATCCCTTAGAAAGTTGTTCCAACAACCGTCTGGGCTCAGTACGCCCTCACAATTGCCAACGCTCGCTGCACCATGCAATTTTGATGCATAACTCCACTCCAGTGGTTCCGCGGTGCTGGTTCCGCCGCCGCGGTTCCCGGCCTCCCGTTTCGCCGGTCGGCACAGCGCCGGGTGACCGCTCGGGGCCAGTCGGAGCGCTGCTGGTCAATGCCCCGGCCGGCGCGGCGTCCGTCCCAGCACGGCCGGCCGGTCACCGGCACAGCGCTGAGCGGCGGAGGATCGGCTCCCGCCTCCGGCGCCGGCGCTGGCCTTGACTCTCCGGCAGCACGGACGGACGCGCGAGCCTTTTCGCCGCACGGCCTTCCCTAGATCGTGGCATCCTTTCTCTCAGTCCAACCCTTTGTTTTCCCCAGTCCGCCCCCTCTCTCTTTCCCTCCCTCTCTCCCTCTCTTTCTTCTTCTGTGATATGTTCTTTCCAGCCCCCACCGCGGCTGGTAAACATGTCAATTGCGTCACCCCATTCGACCGGTTTAACTCGTCGTCCCTCCCCATACCTGTCCAGGTGCCTCCGGCCAGGTTTTGTCGCATCCCCGGCGTGCAGGTTTGCCCTCCCCTCCCCCTCCCTGCCCTTCACCACGATCTCCTTTCACCCACACCGCGGCGCACGCAGACACCCCCTCCCCACCCCCACCCCCACCCCCGCGGAGACCGGCGCGACTCCAATAATACGTGACTACGTGGCACACTGACAGTGGTGTACCGGTGAATGTAGATGATGCGTCCCTCTCCCGAGGTCACTGACCTTGTGGAACGGATGAGCCTGGGCAAAAAACAGGTTTGGGATAGGCAGAGCGGCAGCCGGCTCCTTGGAATTCACGTGGGCCGTTCCAGGTAGAGGTCCGTTCCGAATTTGACGGGAATGAATTGTGGGTGAAATTTGAGCGATTGTTATTCCTTGTTTGATGTTTTATTGGCAGGAGCTTGGGTAAACATTCTTATCGTTCATGCAAATAATCAGACGGGCATGACGCCAATATACCTATATTCTGGATGCATCGAGATGTAAAATCGATATGAATTCTAGGATCCTTTTGAACGGTTCTGGTGGCACGACTTCAGCCTTCATCGAATGCGCCATGTCCGACTTTCTAACAGAACTACTGCATGCCACGCTAGCCATACCGGGCCACATTGCTGGCCGCTGGAGCCTGCTTCTCGGGCACAATGTGAGCGCGGGCCAGCTACGAGGCACCGCTGCCGTGACGCGTTAGTGGCCGGACACAGGCCAGAGGCTGGCTGGTATCACTGGTATGGACGGCGCGGGGGTGGTGAGACGCCGTTACCGGTCGTTATCTGTTGACGGGCCGATGCTGCAGCTGCAATAACTGGTCCAGCCGGGTCTCGTTTTTACCGACACCTAATCTTCACCAAGGCTGGTGGAGGAGATTGGTGCATCCAGATATTTCATAAATAGAAAAATATGCCGTGAAGCTCCCATTTTTGTGACGTTAAGTCTGTGTGCCTTGTTAACTGGCCGGATTTTTTGAAATGCATCAACTCAACTATCCTGTGGCTATGCTCAAGATTTCTTTGCTAACAGTAATAGCTATGCCGTCCTGGATTTACCTCGTCCTGGATCTGCGTTCCTGTGCCCTCCCTTTCCTACCACCTCTGTGTACTACGACTACTGTTGCTTCTTTCACCTGCTTTTTCCCTTTCGTATTTCCACCGTACACCGATTGTCTAACCCAGTGGTCGGCAGGTCATTCGGGGTCGTGCCCCCTTTTTGGGCGCCAGGCAGGGTCATTACCCCCACCTACCAGACCTCATTGCTGACACAACCAAGTTTACTGAAATTCCATACCGTCCTGGAACTCTTTGGGTATTTGTGCATTTCCAATGCATCAAGTTTAAAGGAAAAGGGCCACCTTTAACATGGGGATTGAAACTGAGATAGCCATCTTGTAGCCCGTGTCCGAAAACCTTCCTGTCTACCTCCTTACGGCCGATTTCGGCCTCCATTCGTAGTTATCGGCA